TGACAACGTAGTTTGGGGTTTGTGGTGCCTTCCTATTAGCTCCCTGTGGGTTCGACACTTACTTATCACGAGAGTGCTACAACAGCCCTGTGCACTTGGAGGACATCAAGCATTTTGTGGAGCCGTTGTCGGGGAGCATAGCGCTTGGTCATTACTTACCCGCTAGCACATAGTTTATTTCTGTTTGTTGCTATTTATCTTACTATTTTTCTCTTAACCCAAAAATACAAAAAAACATGTCTTGCTTTGAGATGTCAACATAGGACATAGAGGCTTCAATGGAATGATGCTATGAAAAAAGGAGGATACATGAAGAATACCGGAGTACCGACAAAGGCGGTGAGATCGGTGGGAAATTTATGGAGTTGCATATTATAACTTATGATATCCCTAATGGCTACATACAATGACAATCTCTTCTTCACATGAGCTTTTATTGCAGTTATCACCCACACCCGGTTGTGAGATCATACAACTGTGGTGTCTTCCCTCCTAAAGATATTGAAATCATTGAGGAGATGATGCTAATGCATAGATCTTTTGAGCTTTTAACGTGGGTCAATAGGTTGCCCTAAGAATATGCACTCGGGACTGAGCAAGAGGACTTGTTGGAGAAAATCTATGACTTCAACATAGACAATACTTTTCATGAGAATCCTTTGTACAAGGACTAGTCTCTTGTCCGCAAACGGGTGTAGGAGGGAATTTGCGGGTTGCCGTTGTGAGGCCAAATTCACTGTTCTTTCCCTTATGCAAAAGTTTAGCACGATTTGACCCTTTTGTAAAAAAAAATCGAATCTGACATTTTTCCTACCGCCGTAGATGTTGGCAGTAGAATACAACGGGCTACCGCCATGGTCAACGGCGATAGGCTTCTGGTCAACACAGTGATGTGGCAAGTGGCTACCGCCCTAGCCTTTGGCGGTAGCACCTCAGATGGTCTTCGGTTTCAAATCCTGCCAAAGGCAATTTCTTTTTTTCTTTTTTTTTGCCCAATAAAAATGAAAAATTATTCAGTCTTCACTGTTGATTGATTGAGCATAGATTTGACCATGTAAATATCATTTATAAGAGAGGTGTTTTTTAAGAACTGACAAGAAAATATATTCTCTCTTCCTAAATACAATCACACGCATGTTTCCTTATGTACAAGATATGTGCTAAGACAAGGAAATGTTCCCCTTTTCTTTCTTTCTTTACCATACAAAAAATACGTCTGGAGCGCTGATGTTAAAGAAATGTTTGGATTAGCGCGTGAACTATATTCATATAGCTGTAATATATGTGTGCACTTGCAACTTTCAACATGCGTGTAATCTAATTAATATTCATACATGTACTTTCTAATTAAAGTGAAGATTTGAATCAAATTATATTTTTTCACGACACAAACATGTGCCGTGTCATATGTGTTCACGCTTTAAATGCCATTGTAATATTCACGCGATTAGTAACATATTGATTAATGTAATTATCTTAGACTGACTCAATAGCAAAAATAAATTGAATTTACTTAGCATACGACAAACTCTCATCCAATTGTGGCACGGTAAACCGATGGACCGTGAAGATGTTGAATGAAGATGCCTTGTAAACATGCATCGAGTGATTATATTTAGGAAAGAGAGAACATCTTTCCCCGTCGTTTCTTAAAAAAACGCTTCTCTTGTAAATGATACTAGCAAATATGTCCGTGCATTGCAATGGAAGAAAAGCTATTAGATTATGCACGTGCGATAGATATAAAAGAAATTCTGAACCAAATGCCAGGATGAGATAAGGACTTTTAGAATGTATTTTCATAAAGTATGTCTGGGTGATGTCATGACGAGATAAGGGACTTTTAAAAAGTCATTTAAAAAATAAAAAATGTGATGGTCTCATCACGACTTGATTTTCTAACGCGTCACAACGAAAAAAATGTCGATGATCAAACTACATTGATGGACACTGCATGAGCTAGATTGATGAGTGAGTGCCTCGCCTTGACCTAGCGTAGCGGTGTTTATAATAATCAGTAATGTGGTACCAAAAAAATATAGCTGTGTATGAATGCAAAATAGAAATTTAGTCATTTTTATATAGCTTATAAAAATTAACCTATAGAAAGTTGTGTCAATTTTTGAGGGCTCAGCGTTGTACAAGACATGAAAAACTTTTTTTTATCCAAAATCGAGGGACTGAATACAATCATGAAGCGACCCCTACAGATCTCCTGCGACGGTTCGTTATATTCATTATTTATGGATCTGTTTTAATTCTTGTGAACATATTCCAAACTTTAATAGACATTTTTTTAATTCTCTAATGTTTTTCGAATATTGGATATTTTTTAAAAATCATGAACGTTTTTTATTTCCTGAAAATTTATTTGAAATCGTAATAGTTTTTTATAATACGTGAACAATTTTTTGAAATCATGATCATTTTATGATTTTCCGAATGTTTTTTTAATTCACAAACAGTTTATAATTTTTCAAGACTTTTTTTGAAATATTGTTTTTCTGGAAATCACGAATAAATTTAAAGAAGAAAAAACTAAAACAGAAATGAGAACGTGAAAGCAAAAAATGAAATAGAAAACAGAGGCGTTGCAGCCTGCAAATGGGCCAGCCCATTACCGTGTGCGGGAGGAGTAGGCGCGCTTGCGAAAGAAAAAAGGAGAGATAAAAAGTGGGCAGGCTGGGGATCAAACCCTGATCTTTGTAGTGGAGTCGCGCGGCGCTGGCCACTGTGCTCAGCATATCTTCGTGTTATATTAGGGGATCTCAGCATATATAAACCAGAACCTGCGTGAATCGTTTTTTACCACTTATGGGTGGCATTGGTGGGTAATTTTTGCCAACTTCGAGGGTATTTTTTATGACGTATGTACAAAAATCCAAATCTCTTTATTATTAGGTAAAGATTTACATGGTCAAAATTATCTCAATCCATCAACCGTCAAGAGAATAGTTACAGATACTCTAAAAAAAGAATAGTTACAGACAAGTAAAAAAATATTTTTGACAATAATTCATATCTAACATTAATTAGACTATTTTTATCATTTTTATTGGGCAAAAAACAAACCAAACAAAAAGAATTTGCAACACACACTATTTATAGCATTCAGGTCCCCCCAGGTGCTACTATGGCGGTAGCCACTTGCCACATCATCGCGTTGATCAGAAGCCTACTGCCGTTGACCATGAAGATAACCCGTTATATTCTACTACCAACATCTACGACGGTAAGAAAATGATTAGATACAAACTTTTTTTACAAACAGGATCAAATCATGCTAAATTTTTGCATAAGGGTCACAATAGTGAATTTGGCTCCGTTGTGATGCCCTAACAGAGTAGCATGCCTCGAAGGATCCTCGGGGTACGAACCAACCTGTGGTTGGATGATTAGAGGGACTGGCATCCTCAGCTAACCTGTGCCGGCTCAGTTTTTTGGAGATGCTCATAGGGGTAGGATGTATGTGTGTGTTCGTAGAATGAGTGTATGCGCGTATATATATGAACGCTTGTGTCTGTAGTAGTGATGTTCAAGAAAAAAAACCTCGGGGTGGACCAAAGGAGTACACGCCGTTGCGGCTGCCGCGGCACCCACCCGCAGCGACAGGGTCGTACGCCTCCCATCACCAACCAGCCGCACTCCCACTGACAAAACGGGGCAGACCCACCCCTGGCGGCAAGTGGCGCCACAGAAAAAAAATTCCCTCCGTCGGCGTCGTTTACCAGTCGCCTCCCCCCGCCCGGGTCGTCGGTCTCGTCTCGGCGGCCTCTCGCTCCCTCCGGTCCTCGCACACGGTTTCCATCCCGCCCCACCAAAGATCCGATCAAACCAAAGGCGCCATCCTTGTCCCGGTCGGCGCCTTCCTCGCCATTTCCGCGTACACGTCTCAGCCTGGATCTTGTGGCTTCCGCGGTGGCGGAGCATTCGGCGCGCGGTGGCTCAGCTATAGCTGCCTATATCCTCCGGTGAGTCCCCGTTTCCTCCGAGCTCCCCGAGGCCGATTGCGATGATGCTTCCTCTGCGCGTGGTTAGGTTGCTTCCCTGCTTGATTGCTAGCTCGCCTCTGCCGCACCGCCTGTCGCAATGGTCGCTAGCCTAGTGCCGCGTTCTTGGTTCTTGGGGTTACTTCTCTGTTGTGGGATTTCTCTGTAGGCGTAGGGCTGCGCTTCTCGATGCTTTACTTGTTGCAGCCGCTAGCTCGCGTGTTTAATCTGGGAGCTATAGAAGCGGGGCCTGTCGCGGTGTTGTTTCTGAAACTGACAGGGCTGCGGATAAGGCTCCATCAAGCTCCAGTTTTGCTGTGATTGTGCTAGGGGACGCCAGGTTCGGTAATCGTACGGGGCGCCGTCTCAATCCTTTTTGTTTGCTTCCCCTTACTGCTTTCAGTTGACACATGGGTGAATTTGTCTCTCATGGCTAGTTCGATCTGTCTATAAGTGCAATTTTGTCTAGAGTGGTGGTCTTGTTTTGTCATCTATGTTTGTTAGTTGCGTGCATTGTCAAGTTGCTTACTATAAATATGCAAAGGCCCCAGTGTTGTACTACATGTAAAAGTATCAGTTGTAGATGTTTTGTGGCAAATGACAAGAATGGAAAGGGAGGCAGTTTCGTTATTGGTTAGGAGGATAATTCATTTACTCACCAGTTATGATCATGTCATCTCTCGAGTTGTACTAGCTATTCCTTTATTCATTCATCACAAATGACTAAATTAAATCTTTTACACATTTGCTGTTTGCATTGTAGCACTGTACCACTACAAGGGAAAAGAGGACAAGTATTGCTCTGAAGTGAGATACGCTTGGGGGCAGATTTTGGAGAACTCTTGGTCTAAGGTGTGAGAGATTTGGAGGTATATTTTGGACAACTTGTGGCCTAAAGTGAGATAGGTCTGGAGGCAAATTATTGTGTCCGTCAGCGTGCTAATTTGGGACATCGGATACAAATGAGGCACAGCACACTTCTTTACTGGAGGACCGGAGACAGATAACGTTATGGTAGCCGCTACAGCTACAGAAATGTTTCTTGTGTGCTTTGAATCCTTGTGCCCCTGTTTTCGCTCAAAAAGGAAGGATGGAAGTGAAGATCCTGTTCTTGCAAAAGACGGAAATTCCTGTAAGCAAAATGACGAATTTTCATATACGGGTCATGAAACCTGTTAACACACTGAATCAATGCCTAACTTATTTTTTGTGATGAAATTTAAATGCAAATTTTGTGGTTATCAACACTTTGCCACCGTTTGACATATTGTTCCCTTCCTTTTTCAGTGAGTTCTTCTGAAATGAGGTCAATTTCTGACAGAATTCCCTCGAGCCCTCTTCGGGTACCTGCAAGTCCATCTAGATTTTCATTATCTTCACCGCCAAGTAGAAATGATCCATTGAACCTCAGTCTTGAAACTGTTATTAAACTGACACGTAACTTTTCACCGGCCTTGATGATTGGCGAAAGTTATTTTGGAAAGGCCTACAGAATGGACTTGCAAAATGGCCTTGTTGTGGCTATTAAAAGGGCAAGAAAGGTAGTTTATTTTTTCTGGCAACTAAACTAGAGATTTGCATAAGTACAATGACTGAACTATTATTGTTTATTCTGGTTGCTTTAATTCCACTCTATTAGGTTTAGCTAAAAGCCTAATTAGACACGACACTTCATGAGGTTTAGAAGTTCTATTATACTCCAGCCTAGCTTTCCTTGTCTAGCTTAGCTTTGTTTTCTGTCGAATTTTCTAGGTTTGTTCAGGTTTTGTATAGTTAGTTTTTTCTCCCTTTTGGGGGAGGCTGCTAGCCTCTTTTTGGTCGTTTGGGTCAAAGTCACTGTGGATGGTTTGTAATATACAATGGCACGCCTTTCGACGCTTGTTTCAGAGAGAAGAAGTCCTGTTTGGGCTGAAACATTTTTAGATTGTTTACTGAGCTTATCATCCACTGCTCTCTCTTGGGTGGAATCAAGAAAGAACAAGAAATTGGCTAATGCATGTTTAGGTAGACCCAGTTGTTGATTGATCCATATGTGCGTAGACCAACATAAGAATAACAGGGTTATGCATCAATAAAACATGCTGCATTGCATTCTTCATTCCAGTAGTTGTGCATTGCTCTTATATCTTTTATGTGTTGTGTAAGCCTGTTCACTAGTCGGATTTTTTTTTCCTCTCCGCAATCCGGATAGCTGTTGATAATAATTGGGTACCTTCACTTCTTTTTACCGCTGTTTGAGTTGTGATTCTGATATGGTCTATTTTCCCAGGAACATTTTGCTTCTTTACATGCAGAATTCAAAAATGAAATTGCACTACTAAAAAAAATCGAACACAGGAATCTGGTCCAGTTACTTGGATATATTGACAAAGGGAATGAAAGAATTGTCATAACCGAGTTTGTGTCAAATGGCACTCTTAGGGAACATTTGGATGGTATGCTGCAAACCAGATTGCTGCTTTATTTGATTCCTTCTCAGGATGAACAGTAACATTTTTATATTGTCTTTCAGGACAACATGGGCTAATATTGGGCTTCAGTCAGCGGCTTGAAATAGCCATAGATGTTGCCCATGGATTGACTTATCTGCATCTATATGCAGGTACACCTTTGCCTACATGTTTTCATTTGCTGACTATAGAACTGTCAAGTAAAACACTAATCAAATGGTTCTACTTTTTATTCTGATTCAGTCACATGTTAAGGAATTTACCTCAGCAGTAACGAAACACATGAACAAAGTATTCTTGCTGCACTGGAAGTTAATAATTTGTGGTACCTGTCAGCTGTCATGATGGCATACGTTTTTGGAAATTATTTTGGCTGTCCGTTGCCTTGAGAAAATGTCATGTACATGTACTCCAGCTTTTTATTAAGTGGGCCTAACGTGTTTTAAGAGTGCGTGCAAATAAGCATTTGCTGTGCAAGTTTAACAGTCACAAGAATTTGAGGCTATGCTTAACAAGGGCACACAATCCTAATTTGCATGCGCGACCTAAATTATGAATTTAGTGAATCACAAGGATCAGCCACGTGACTAGATTTCTTTTGTGTGTCCTCCATTTAAATGCAAGATTTAGCTAACTGCATGAATATAAAATTATCTATTCAATAGAAGTAAACTTGTATAACATACTTTTGCTCTTTAGTATTTTGATGCATCCACAGGTAAAAAGACGCATTGTAATTTGATCGTTCCTGCTGGCGATTTGCATATATCTTTTCTTAAATTATAATGCAATCTTATGCTTTTAGAGAAGCCCATTATACACCGGGATGTGAAGTCATCAAACATTCTACTAACTGAAGGCTTCAGGGCAAAAGTAGCCGACTTCGGATTTGCAAGAATTGGTTCAACAGATCCAGGCCAGTCAGAGATTCAAACTGATGTGAAAGGAACAGCTGGCTATGTGGATCCAGAGTATCTGCGGACAAACTATCTGACAGTCAAGAGTGATGTGTTCTCTTACGGCATCTTGCTCCTGGAAATCCTATCAGGTCGTCGTCCTATTGAGGTGAACAGAGGAGGAAGAGAAAAGATTACCGTGCGATGGGTATGTCTTTGCTTTCCTCTCTTATGTTTATACTATTTCAGTCGTTGATATCCTGTTTAATTTTTTAATCAGCTAAGCTTTACTAGTTAGCTCTGTTATGAATCAAGTATGTTGCTCAAGATTTCTCTTTAGTGGTACCCCGTGAAAGGTAGATCAAACCACTTTCGAAACAATTTGTAAACAAGCACAACTAGAAATAGAAGGAAAAAAACTCGACCAACAGGCACTAGCACTGGTGCCATTTTAGTTTAGGAGAACCATGAGCACCCATGGAAGCTAGGTTTCACATGGGATGGGATGGGCAAGCAGCGGTGCCTCTAATCTAACCGAGTGACGCTCAGTTCTTACAAGCAGAAAACAGAAATGTAGTACTCAATGCCAGCATAGTTTCAAGAATGAGCTTCAGAACATAAAACTGCGAACTAGTTATTCAATCATTTATTTGGGTCAATTCATTGCATCCTCGTACTCTTATCTGTGTTTTTCTGTGTTCACTCGTTTGGGTAGGTGATGTGTGTGCCTTCCTTTGATGATTAATAATGTGATATTTTGTTACAAGTTAAACCACACACTATACAGCCCCCTCCATGTGTACACAGAAAAAAAGAACTATTGTCACAGTATCTCGGATATCAGATACTACTCCCTCCGTTCCCAAATATTTGTCTTTCTAGGCATTTCAAATGGACACAACATACGGATGCATGTAGACATATTTTAGAGTGTAGATTCACTCATTTTGTTCCGTATGTAGTCACTTGTTGAAATCTCTAGAAAGACAAATATTTAGGAACGGAGGGAGTACTACTTATCTTTAACTCATTTTAACCGAAAACACACACCAGTAACTGCTTATCCCATCTATTGCCACTTAGATTCTACAAGTCATGAGTCATCTAAGGTTTGGTATAATGCCTTTGATGCAGGCCTTCGAGAGATATAACAAAGGCAATGTCCAGGAGATACTGGATCCGATGTTGACCGAATCAGTAAACAAGGACATACTGAATAAGATTTTCGATGTAATGTTCCAATGCGTCGCTCCTACTCGTGCGGACAGGCCACATATGAAAGAGGTTGTGGAGAAGCTCTGGAAGATACGGAGGGACTATGCTAAAACCCAAAACAGAGCAGAAGGATCTCTTTAAACCATCTTGCACTGGGTTATTGACTGCTGTTTTTTTTCGCTTGAGAGAACATGGGTGGACTCAGTTCTTGTTAAGGCTGAACATTGCCGTGCATTTTTGTCAAACACGAACAGCTGAAATCTGTACAGGGTTGTAACACTATTGTTGCACATTGTGTATATAGCTGTGTTCATGATCAAGAGATCGATCTGATGCACGTTGACCTGGAACGGATGAATTCCGTGTAGAGGCACTGTTCAGTGTTTCAGTGATCTGTGCCCTGGAGAAAGTGCAGCGGTGCAGATTGCAGTGCAGCTTCTGCGTGTGTAGTTTTAGAAACTGTATAAGCATTGTCGAGTTGTATAAGATTCAGGAAGAGACTGAAATTATTATTATTTTCTTTTCTGTTCTTTTCTGTAGTATATACTCTGCCTGAACTTCACAGAATAAGAAGAGACAGCCATTCCGTAGAAAATAATAAAAGTGCAATATCAAAAGTACTCATTTCTTCAGTTCTTGCAACCTTGTACAATTTAATTTTTTGCAGCTTCTTCTGTTTTGTTTGGGTTCAATTTTGTTTTGGCTAGCCTAGGTTTGTTATTTTGCTTTGTGCTCTCTGCCTCAACTTGGCATCGTCTTCTAATATGAATAGCTTCTCAAAATAGAGCTTCTTTTAGTGTTAGATATATCCGTATTTAGACAAATGTAAAACAAGTAATTCAGGACGGAGGAAGTACAAAACAATACACATTTGTGTGCATGTTCAAGAAAAGAAAATCTTCGAATATCCAAGCACGCATGTTTGACTTACTTGAAACTCATACACGAAAACTGACCCCAAAAAAAATTAGGATTACACATCATTGCAGTTCTAATTTCTCCAATGGGGGTGCCGATAAGCCGGAGCGGCTGTGACCGAACACTGGAGTGGGTCTCTTGTCAATTTCGTCATCTAAACTACCACATGAACCTTTGTGTTCCCGGCTCATGGCCCCAATGGAATGGTCTGGACAGAAACATCACCAGAGTGAACAAATCCACAGCAGCATATGCAGACCCCAAAGCAAGCAATTTGCCATTACTGATGACCGGGGAATTGAGCACCAGTATGACCAATGGGATTGTGTAGTATCTAAATTCGACCAACGGGGCAGGGACGAGAACCAACGCAACTGAGAAAACAAAGGACACCACCCAAACTCTTGGCTGCGATTTCCCTGTAAAGATCAGAAAAAACAACAGAAGTTTCAGTTCATTATACTTCTCAAAATTGACAACCTTTTCTAAAATTAAATGAAGAAGTTCACCTAAGATGTTGATGACTGAAAACCATGAGTACATATAGAGTGGAACCAAAATGTATTTCATCATCCAGTGAGCTTGGATGACCTTCCTCCAGATATAGAAGGTGTAATGTCTATTGTCAGCCAAAAGATACGGATGAGCAATGCTGCACCAGAAGATGAGGCTATTAGTGGGACTTCACAAACAGAAAAAAGAAAGACAAAGAGAAACATTGGTCATGTATATTAGTGAAAAGTAGAATCGTCAATAATTTTCTGACATGTTTGACTGCAACTGGAGTTCTGCTCGTAGATTGCAAGCTTTGCCGAATTGAATATGTATATAGTTACTTGCCACTTAACTTCAGTTTGAATTTAAGTGAAATACTGTTGGCATTAACACAAGCCCGGTTCTGCCTTTATCAATTTTGATACTTAAAAGCGAATAAGACACATACTAGGTGTTCAGGTAACAAACCTGAATAAATGTACAGCCCCAAAGCCTAAACCAAGAGCTATCAGCATTGCCAGAGAACTAAAGGTTTTGTTCTTTCTACACCAGTGGAATAAGTCTGATACTCGTCCGGGAGTAAAATGCCACGGTAGGAGGGCAGTAGCTGACACTAGACCAAAGTACAATAACTGTGCAAAATGTGGTGAAACAACATGAGCTTCCTTGGCACCTGCATCACTCAAAGCAAGGGCCCATGTTAGCAAATTATCTACAGTATCACTTAATCAACTGCTAAGCCCTATGCAAGATGTAAAAAGAGAAATTCAACACAAGAATTTACCTAGTACTATGCCACCATTCCAGATTATAAATGCTACAAATACCACCAGAACTATTGCGAATGGTGCAAAAGTGATTAAAACTTTACACTTTGAATTCCATAACTTGAAGCCAATGTCGAATAGTTCTTCTGTAAAACCTGTACATTAATCATAAATATTTAATATGTTGTGGAAACTGCACAGAAAAATTAAGATCATGATCGTGTAGAATTTACATCCTTCTCAACAAAAAAAAAAACATTTTGCATTCAGAATTAGAACGTATAAATTGATAAAATGTTGCATCTGGTGTTCTCATAACAAGAAGAAAAATATCAATCATACAAGAAAAAGCTCTATTTTAAATTTTAAAGGACATTAGCGAGCCGCCTAGTGAATCCCAAAAGCGAAGCTACAAGCTTACAGTAAACTTTGAAAAATATATACTCCCTCCGTTTCTAAATGCAAGACCTTTTAAGATTTCAACACGGACTACATACGGATGTATATAGACATAGTTTAGAGTGTAGATTCACTCATTTTGCTCCATATGTAGTCTATATTAGAATCTCTAAAAGGACTTATATTTAGGAACGGAGGGAGTATAATTTTCTCAATTAAAATAGCTGGAGTACTCACTGGTGTGCAATTTAGTAGATCCAGAAACAACTCCCCTCTTACTTATGGGGTGATTAGTTCGTCGTCTTCTCAAACCTAAAGCACTTACTTTGCTATCCCTGTCAGACACTTCTGTTCTTGACTTATTTGTTGGTTCACTGTTCTCATCAGAAAGGCAGTCACTGAGAGAAAGATCTTGTACATATGCAATGGCTCCATTGGCAGCAAAAAATATCATCCATATTACATTAGTCTGCCGGAAAAGTATTGAGAGAGCACCGAACTGCAGGCAAAAGGAACACAAATAATTAAAAGAGGCATGAAGTATATCAAGAACTTCAATGTGAAATGAGTGGTTTGGTTGTTAAATAATGATGTGGAGTGCTGAACAATCTTTTTATGAATCAACAACCTTCACCATCAAGTATGCTACAGATAAATTTTATGGATGTACAACTTCCTGCAACTCAAGCAAGCTAAAGAAGCTCCTATTGTGAGCACAATAAATCAACAAATAGTGTATATGCTATGGTCTCCACAAAAATGCAACCTTATCTCACTGAAAGCTATAAAGAGACGCGTTCAAACACTCACCAGTGCGCTGACCCAAAACCGTTTCTTCAAGCAGGACAGGTACATCGCAAGAACTGCAGCTAATGATGCGACATCAGTATAATACAGAAAGGTAAAGAACCAGTGAACAGGATACAACGCTACAAGAATAGCATAAGCAGTTGCCTTCGTCTTGCCAATTCCTGGCTTGATACACAGAAGCAGGTCATGGACAAGAATACCGCAGACCATTGCCATTATAACATTAGTGGACCGGAGAAGTGCCGTGGTGCAAAGGGGGTCAAATGCCTCTGCTACCTTAATAGCCCATGCACTAGGGAACAGAGAAGCAACATATGCTAGAGAAATGTAGTACCTGCAAAATTGCAGACAACAGTTCATCACAAGAAAAAAATGAGTTTGAAGCAATAAGGAGTAGTGGAAGCTCACAGGCCAGGAGGGGTGGTGATCATGGGATCCCACGTTAAGAAATCTCCACGGCAATATTGCTGCGCCTGGGGAACATGGAATATCTCATCCTAAAAACAAACAATAAAGTGGTAGTGGATATGTCATCATGTTCTTATCGGAAGCATATTGTGCCATACACATTTTCAGAATGAGAATACAGCGAGATTAGACAAAAGTAAGAATCCTAAGGATCTTGCAAAAGCTCTGCCTATGCCTCACATCTGCTTATCGAATCTAATTTTTTCGTAGAACTCAACTTTCTATATAACTACGAAACTATAACACCAAATTCCTTCATGTAAAAGATGTAATAACGTTTTTCCACATGAGAACCGATGTTATCATATCTATGCAAATGCTTACAGCATTGGGCAAACGATCGTCATTGCAATTTCAAACCCTATCACCTCGTTCGGATGTTGATATTGAGGCCTTGAAATTGATATTGGCATTGGGCAGCCCGAATGCCATTGTTCGGATGGTTAGGGTATTGCCTGGCTGAATTGGGCCAAGATATTGGCTGGCTCACATTCACAGCCCATGTAGCTGTTGCCGAATTCAGAGCAGAGGAGCTCGACTTTGCCTGATATTCGGGATCGAGCGCCTAACTTACCGCTTCGCCCGCGCTCGAGGGAAAATAAACAGGCAACCGACCGAGAGAGGAGACGAACAGAGACACGACAGGGAGCTCCGACGGCGCAGGTCAGACCTCTCCGCCCTCCTCCTCCTCCTTCTCTCTTCTCTCCTTTCTCCGGCGGGTCCGCTCCTCCCCCGCATGCGCCCACCTCCATGCGCGTCCACCTGACCCATCCCGCGCGCTTGTCCCTCTGTACACCCGCCTCCCATGGCAGATGGCACGACCGCCGCTTCCCCCATGACTGCTTCTTCCTGTAGCCCCGTTGCCACCGTCCCCTAGCTCCCTCCATAACCCTACACAGAATCCCTAATCCCCTCTAATCCCCGCCCACATGTGCTAGTATTCTGAGTTTTTTTTCTTAACCTTTTGCAGCTCATAGTCGTGAGATGTTGATACAAATTTTGCTTTTGGTCCTTCTGTTTTGGTACTCGGCATGCCATGATGTGGAAGACAATGCATTAGTAGCTGATGCTGAAGTGTTTATTTAATTTGGCATACGCCCTAATGTACATGTTGAAAACCACTGTCGAAATTGATCTGAATGATTCTTCATATTCTGCTGTGGAGTGCTTGAACTGCACAGATCTGATTTTCATCTTTGTAGTGTCGTGTATGTACGAGCTCATTTATTCAGCCGGTGTTTGTCTGAATTATGAAAGCTCATGCATTTCAGATTCAGAACGCTAGTTCACATGGTAGTTGCTACTATCCAGAGTGTTGTCTCAGAACAATACTTGCTACTGCTCCTTACATATATATAGTTGGTACTAAAAACCAATGACAAAATGTATAGGTACCAGTGTACTGACACCATTTTCTTTATAAAGAAATTACATCAAAGTGCAATTCCAATGTAGAGAATGATCATCCAAACAAGCTTCGGAATTTAGCCTCTCATGCGAATTCCAAATGTCAATATCGTGCACATCCAAACAACCAAATTCAAGTTCAATGTCAATATCAAAGTCTGGGAGATTTGATATTGGAGCCAATTCAATTTCATGGCCCTTAATATCAACATCCAAACGGAGTGTATGTGGTTTTCAGTGAAAAAAATAAATCCTAACACATGACGATGTTGTGAAACAAATGGTATTGTTGGTTCCTAAAGTTAGTACAAAGTTGAGTCATCTATTTTGGAACGGAGGGAGTAGTAATTAGCATTTATTCAGATAACTAGAGTGCCGGAATACTACTATACTTCATCATCAGACTATAAGCAAGTGACATTAGACATGCATATCCTGGCAAGAGGACTCACCATGTAGGGGTCAGGCACGATGGAGTCAACCAAGGCGGCGATCGGGATAGCCCATGCGGCCACCGCGGCGGCAACGGCCAGCCTTCCCATCCCGCAGGCGGGGCTCTCAACTCCGGGAAGCCCACTTGAGAGAGCCAGCACGCTTCAGATCCAGTTCATCGCTCAGAACTCGGAAGCACAGAGCTCATCACACGAGTCCTTACTAGGTTTTGTCGGAAGCTATGCAGCTTGCAGAAGGACCGCGGCGTCGGGAGCGAGTTCGCCGGTGAGACGGCGCGGCCGGACGGCTACGCTGCTGCTGCTGCTGCTGCTGCCGGCGTCTCGCCGGAGGTCTCAGGCTAGACCGGTGGAGATTTCAGCCGCAACACCTAGGCCCAGCGTCTGTAACAACATACCGGTTCGGGCAGGCCCACGGCTCTGCAAGCCCAACACACTGGCCCGGCCCAACCACCGTCAGGTACCTAGCGAACGGGAAAGAGGGCGAGGTCTCATTATTCGTTGCGCTTAGATCTCCCACCCTCTGATCTCTCCCGAGGCGCGAGCAGGAAGACGCCGGCGGGCGGCTCCGGCGACCGGAGACTCTGCGGTCTTCGCTCCGCCCTTTCCATGTGAGCAGCTCCTACTCTGCTTCTCCCCCATCTCGAGTTTTCTTAGGTTTGGATGGGTCGATCTAGTCTTTGGTTAACCAGCAGCAGATAGCTTGTCAAAAGAAGCGGTAGTGTAGGTCTAATCGTATTGAGCAGAGCACAGCACGTACAGTTGAATACTGACTTCGCTATTTGTAGCTAGACATAGGGTCTTGGCAAAGCCAGGCCAAGAAGGAATTGCTATAGAAGTGATGACCAGTGGAAGTAGAATTATATTGGGATCTGATGAATGGGTGGGATATGAGAAAGTCTGTGTTGTATTGTTTAAGCACATTGGTCTTAAAATAATAGTGATCAAAGTATCTTCAAATCTGCCCAATAATAATTATTTTTCTTGATTTTCTCATAATGCTTGATGCACTCTTAGATCACTTGGGGCCTCCACGAAATAGTCCCTCTGATTTTGACAGAATCTCCAATCCAATATAAGCTGGCGTTCACCATCTTGCAAACGATTGCTCTAAACAATTGCAGCGAGATGCCCAGAACTTCTTGAACCAGACTTGGCTTAACTATGGTATCAATTTCAGTCACAAACCCACCTATACTTGAGAAGGATATGTTGTGTTTGTTATGGTTTTATACTGTTATTCTACTTGGGGCCTCCACGAAATAGTCCCTCTGATTTTGACAGAATCTCCAATCCAATATAAGCTGGCGTTCACCATCTTGCAAACGATTGCTCTAAACAATTGCAGCGAGATGCCCAGAACTTCTTGAACCAGACTTGGCTTAACTATGGTATCAATTTCAGTCACAAACCCACCTATACTTGAGAAGGATATGTTGTGTTTGTTATGGTTTTATACTGTTATTCTACTCTGAGCAGTGTGCAATTGTTAAAATTTTGCTCCGTGACTCATGGTTTCATGATGGAGACAAACCTTGGAATCGAAAGGGTTTAGGCTTAGTAGAACTAAAACCGAGTACATGATGTGCGGTCTCAGTACTACTAGGTGTGAGGAGGAGGAGGTTAGCCTTGATGGGCAGGTGGTGCCTCAGGAGGACACCTTTCGATATTTGGGGTCAATGCTCCAGGAGGATGGGGGTATTGATGAAGATGTGAACCATCGAATCAAAGCCGGATGGATGAAGTGGCGCCAAGTTTCTAGCATTCTCTGTGACAAGAGAGTGCCACAAAAGCTAAAAGGCAAGTTCTACAGGACGGCGATTCGACCCGCAATGTTGTAGGGCGCTGAGTGTTGGCTAACTAAAAGGTGACATGTTCAACAGTTAGGTGTGGCGGAGATGCTTATGTTGAGATGGATGTGTGGCCACACGAGGAAGGATCGAGTCCGGAATGATGATATACGGGATAGAGTTGGGGTAGCTCCAATTGAAGAGAAGCTTGTCCAACATCGTCTGAGATGGTTTGGGCATATTCAGCGCAGACCTCCGGAAGCTCCGGTGCATAGCGGACGGCTAAAACGTGCGAGAATGTCAAGAGAGGTCGGGGTATACCGAATTTGACATGGGAGGAGTCCGTTAAGAGGGACCTGAAGGATTGGAGTATCACCAAAGAACTAACTATGGACAGGGGTGCATGGAATCTTGCTATTCATGTGCCAGAGCCATGAGTTGGTCGCGAGATCTTATGTGTTTCACCTCTAGCCTACCCCAACTTGTTTGGGACTAAAGGCTTTGTTGTTGTTGTTGGGACTCATGGTTTCATGTTAATGGAACTGGGGCGGCGATGCCCTGTTTCTCTAAATAAAATGTTAAAATTTTAGTGATAGAACTAGATAAAACCTATGAATGCGCCCCTTTCACATATCAGTTTTCACGCACACTCAAATCTCTAACATCTGGCCAAATGGGAGTCATCCAATGAACTACGATTTTATCACACAAAAAACTATTTGAGTCTTAACAGCAACAGAGCCATGTGTACTTAGGGTTTCTGCATTTTCTTCTTCTTGGGGTTTACAAACTATTTATAGGAAAAACACAAATTTACAGAGTTTTTGGTACAAGCACAACTTTAGTGTTAACAGCAACAAAGCCATGTGTACTCAGGGTTTTTCTACCCTTTTCTTCTTCTCTAAAATAATGATAGCAGATCTCCTGTGTGTTCTAGAAAAAAATAACTAAGATGGTTAACCCACAGAAGTGAGAAGGCATTGTGGTTTGCAGTTAAAGTCTCTTAGTACAAAGCAACGGAAGGCATGCACATCAGTAATCAGTTATAGCTTTACAGATAGACTAACAACAAAAATGCAGAAGGATATGCCAAACTTTTGAATGCACAAATGCTATCCTTCTGGAGCTAGGGTAGTGGTGCATTTTTATTTTTATTTTACTGATGGTTAGTTTGTTTGCTCAGCTGTATTTCCTCCCAACCATCAAACTTATTTAATTTTATTTTGTTTGCAACATCTGAAGATTGCTACCAGAGTGAAACTAGTCTGTTGGTGGAAATGGCCAGTACAGCATGCTTCGTGATTGTAAGTAAGAACGACATCCCAATCTATGAGGCAGAGGTTGGATCTGCACCCAAAGTATGTGTCCTGCACTCCATTTTCTTTCTATCTATTGTATTTAGCTATATAACTTGGTAAAAATGTCCCCGGATATGAAAAATAGAAATAGTTAATAGATAAGCATAAATCATATTGGATCATGCCCCCTAGCAAAAAATCTATATGAGATAGCCATTAACGGAGTTCTGCAAATTTCCTTCTCTGAGTTAAAACAGTGTTGCATGTGGTAGCTTTGCCCCTGTATACATGGTTTTCTGGCGGTTTCTATTCTTGATGCCTCCTGGTTAACTTTCATAATTTCATCTGTTCCCAGGAAATTTAAGAACTTCTATGTAATAGTGTTAATTTATATACAATTATATGTTGGACTCTTCTTGACATGGGGTGACTGGGTTCTGTTCCTCTGAAGTGGTGGTCATATTGAATTACTATTAATTTACATGTCTAATCTTCTGGCATTTACTTTCCCTCTCAGAAAGAAGATCTGGCTTATCACCATCAGTTCATCCTGCATGCTGCGTTAGATGTTGTTCAGGACCTAGCATGGACCACAAATGCAATGTGAGATTCTATTGGCTGGTTAATTTTGTTTTGTAGGATACCAAAAAAAATTGTGTTCAATACGCATTCAAAAATACCACAGCTCACAAATAGTCTTCTTATATACTACTAACTATTATATTTTTTCCCTCATCTAACCCTTTCTGCATTTTATGTTATTTTCAGGTTCCTGAGGTCGGTTGATAGATTTAATGACCTTGTGGTGTCTGTTTATGTAACCGCTGGTCATACTAGATTCATGTTGCTTCACGATTCACGCAGCGAGGATGGAATAAAAAGCTTTTTTCAAGAGGTCCATGAACTTTACATCAAGGTAAGATGATTATCGATCGGTCCTTCACAATCTGGAGAATCCTCTTGTCGCATTTTAGTTTGCTATAAATAAATGCTCAGTTAAGTGCACACATACGTCAATTGTCAAATCATGCGTACTGAACAGTAATGCCACTGAGTATCTATTTTTGTGGTGAACATAATTTTTGGCGTCGGTTTATTATCTTTTGCTATGCTTTTATCAAGATGCTCCGTCTGTGTCAAGGTGATGGCACTTGTCTACCCTGTAAATAGGCAACCGATGGGTGGACGATATGTATGGGTCAAAATCGCATGGGTTGCTTACGAGTCCCATACCTTGCAAAGTTACTTTCCCTAAAAAAGGCATGCAAGGTTACTTGCTGATGCAGAATTGGGCACTGTTTCCATAACAAATCTTGACAAGCGTCTGCAGTCTCGTTCTAGAAGATCCTACATGTATCAGTTAGGGTCTTGATATTTTTTTTTTCCAACCGGGCTCACACCCCTTTCCATTGATCTCTTAACGGAAATAATCAGTACAGAGCAGTAATCTGACACCACAAGAGAACTGAAAACTAACAGACATAAGGGAGTGGGAAAGGGATGAGCGAGTTGGAGCATTAACAGGAAACCCGCTGTGGATGCTCAAGCTCGAGGTATCCACCGCGGGGCGAAAACCTAAGGGTCTTACAAATCTCGTGTTTATTTTTTTCCTGCAGATATTCCTCAACCCCCTGTATCTGCCCGGCTCTCGCATCGCATCGTCTCATTTCGACACCAAGGTGAGGGCTCTCGCGAGGAAGTATCTGTAGCGTGCGGCCACGGAACTGATTGGCGCCGTAACGGGGGAGCAGGGCCGGCAAAAACACTCCACCGCCGGTGTTGTCGTGCCATCTCTGTATGCTGCTGAATCAAACTATGCACGCTCTATTTTTCTTCTTGCCGGATCCTTGCGTGTGTGCCAGTGAATCCCGGGTTTTCGGAATTGAATTCGATTTGAAAATTGCATTGTGCTGTTGCTGTACATGGCAAACCTGTACGACCTCCTTGTAGCATATGGGAGCATACTAACTAGTGGGATCGATTTGATTTCCTGTCTTTGTCCTGCATCTATCTCGCCTTTTTCCTGTGCGTGCGTGCATGATCAGATGATCAGATCTTACCTTCCTCCACCAGAGCTGTGGCTCGTATGCGCTAGGCGGAAAGGTCACAGCGCAGGATACGCTACGCGCGTGAATGCTAGTGGTACGTACTATGTTGAGCAATGCAGGGTAGTATCTGATGCAGGAGTGAGATCTGATGAGTACAGAGCCACTAAAGAAAGAAAAAGTGTCCAGTTAGCAGTAGTGTGTGTTAGCCCTGGTTGTTTTCAGTCCCAGTCCAGCCCCATCATGCACGTCTGTGTGTGTAAAAAAAAAAGAAGGCATCTTGGAAACTTTTTTTTCTTCTGAGGATTGGCATCTTGGAAACATGTC